TTGTGTGAAACAACCATCAGAGGAAAAAGGCAGCTTCTGATTTTGATTCACTTTTGAGGCATTTTGAGCACAACCAGTTGACCTCAATTAAAATCATAAATGGATACATTAACACGCACGCACGCACATTTGTCCTACAGCAAAAATATGCTTTTCCCCTTTGGGATGTAGAAAGTTTAAGAAATTACTCTTTGAATCATTCGTTTTAAGATAATACGTACTGAACTACTTGTCATCCCAGCAAAACCATCCATACAGCACAATATCTCAATCCAAAATGACTTCCTATCTCTGGCTCCTTCAAAGGCAGTTCGAAATCTGGGTGTTGTGATTGATGAACACCTGACCTTTAAAGATCATGTTGCCTCTGTTGCTCGTTCATGCCGCTGCTTATATCTGCAATCTCGTTCTTTCGGTCACTACCCAAAGCTCATGACCAATGGCACCATGTGTCCTTCCGGCTCAGCTCTCTCTTCACCACCATTTTAAAAGATTTTAAATAGAAATAAAATAGAAATTTGTCTTTGATTCTTAGAACTACCAGTAACAGCATTTACTCAGCAATCAGACTTTTGTCATTAGTGTTACAATCCTAAATGTAATACAATGTAAAGTCAGTGTAAAGTACTAGGGATGTGAATCTTAGAGCAACTCACGTTTTGATTCAATTCCGATTCTTGGAGTGCCGATTCGATTCAGAATTGATTCTCGATTCTCAATTTAAATCGATTCACAATCATGATTAACAAAGAGTGTCAGCTCCAGGATAAACTACTTTGTTGTACAAGTTAGTTAAAGCTATGGGACATTTTTATTTGACTTTAAACTGGTCATGCTGCAAAAATGCAAATTTACAATGTAAAATAAAAAGGTTCTTAAACTGTAAAAAGAAGCAATCTTTTAACCAAAAGGCAATTTATTTTTGCTTACCTTGTAAAATATAACAAATAAATAACAAATAAACATGAGAATATCTCAAATTTCTGAGTATGGAAAAAAATACATTCAAGTGCCCTCTTATCAGCAGATTCAAACATAAATCATCTCGATTTATGGGACCACAAACGTAAACGGAGTACTGACTCCTAACAAAGATCAAAAAAGTGCATCTCAAACCTGTAACATGCCAAATATTTGAGTTCTTGGAATCGATTCTGAACCTTTGTGAATCGATTCTGAATCTTTATAAATAAGAATCCCGATTCAGACTTGAATCTATTTTTTTCAGCATCTCTATAAAGTACTAAATGTAATGTAAAACCAATAAACGGATAACAAACTTACATGATGCTGCCCTGTTTTTCTTTGATAAAAATTTTCTTTTAATGATTCTATTAAAAACAATTAAATAAGAGCTTTACTGCCTTCTAATGTGACTGCTGAGACTGGTTCCCTGGAGCTCTTCATTACGTTAACCCAGCTGCGGGATGCTAATCCTTGGTTTCCAGACTGATTCCAGATATTCATGACTATTCTGAGAGGAATTTGTCTTCCAGAGATTTTTTTAATAGTGTTAAAAAATCAGGCAACAAAATTGTGAGTCCTTGCGACTCAGGAGCAAATTCAAAACCCTTTGCTAATGTGTCGAGACATTATGGAAACTCCCCTGCAAATATCAATCATAAAAAACATTCACTACATAGACAGTACACATTTCGTAAAATGACCACCACCGATAAAACAGTACGCAGTAAATTGTAAAACAGGCATGACCTAAAATATACAAACTAAAAAAAACAGCATGAGATGTGTAAAACCATGTAAGCAAAAGAGTCTTTAGCTTAAACGTCGGCCAGCTTGATGTCCAGAGGCAAGCTGTTCTAAAGTGCCGGTACATAAGACAAAACTGCTCTCCTACCAAACGTCTTCTTTTACACTCTAGGAGCAGCCAGAAGTCCAGTGTCCAGTCTCAAAACCCAGCCAGGTGCATAAAGGTGCAGGTGCTATTCATATGTTACAAGCTAAACTTTAAAATCTTTAAGTAAGAGTTATTCACGGTCCATTAGTTGCTTAAATGTTCATTCACCTATAATGTCTGTTGGTTTTAAGTGTAACGCAAAGGGTCTTTGAAATCCCACAGCCCTAAGATGAAAAATAAACTTTACATTTTAATTTATAGTTTGTCTCTTTTATGTAAACAAACACATTTATAAAGTTTGATGAGTTTTGGGACAATGGCAGCAATGAAGATGCTTCTGCCTTGTGGTCTTCAGCCTCTGAGATGACTAATAAATCCGTGCTTTTATTTGAGAGCTGTGCCATCCAAAGTGATATGGATATTATCTCCTCCTTGTTCACACCGGGTTTCCCTCCCAAAACTTAACGAATCAAAAAAAAAAGACGCCGATTGTATTATTTTATCGGTGTTGTGCCACCCTGCAGGAGCGATAAAGGTTGACATGTTGCTTGTAAAACAAACAGTTCAGACTTTTTCACCTTTGACTTAAAAGGACACAGATTAGGATCCAAACTCCTCAAAATCTTCACCTCAGACTCACTGGGGTGATGCAGAATTAATGAGAGAAAACTGCTGGGGAGGTGGTGGGCATGAAAGCCTCAGATTTCTTCTGCTCTGAGAGAATTATTAAAGTGCTGGTTGCCAGGCGGAGACGAGGAGTTCAGTGGAAGCCCAGCACCATGCAGCTCCACGCACGTCTGGAGGGAGGCTGAGAGCAGCGAAATATGCTATTTTTTGGCTCTTGCCATTTAGCACCATCTGCTCGGTCATTTGGGTGTTTGTATTTGCTTCTTTTTTTCCCCTGTAATCTTGACAGGGGACAAATGCTGCAAGCGTGGAAGAGATAGGATGATGGATGCTCTCCACATGCAGAGTGTCAGTAAACACAGCAGCCAGGATCATACAGGACTCTGCAGGGAAGAATATGTCAGAAAAAATAAGATGCTGAAGCTTTCATCATTACACGTGTCTCTTCATCTGGTTAATCCACTTTTATCTCTAATAAAATGACTTGATGAGCAACCAGGAGGCCGGAATGGAGTCAGTGACTATTACTTCGTTTACCTTTTATATTATTGAGCTTATTCAGATTAATTGTTTTATGTATAAATGGGACTTGTTGTATTGGACTAAATTAAAGGTGGTTGGTTCAACTTTAAGTGCTGGCTAATTTATTAAATCATAATTATTACAGTAAAACTAGAAAAGAATAATAATCAGGTCATATCATCAGAAAGAGGGAGGTGCCAGTTCAATTCATTTCACATCTATTTTTTGGGTTTTCATTAACTGACTAAAGTAGTTAAATTATTTGCACTCCAGAAACTTTCTACATTGGTGCGACCCAATTTCTCATTCACACTACTACGTCCAGAACACTGAGATGTTAGCCTAGTGAACTAGACCAAATTCTTGCTTTGCAAAGTTTGGTCTAGGAACGCTCCACTGGAACCTCTGTAGCCCCTAGCAGCATTCTGGCTGGCCAATCACTGCTCTCTAGAGGGGATTTCAAACACATAAAGAGCTGTGATTGGTCCATAATGGTGGGACAATCATAGTGCTCTATCTGCTTAGTGAACAAGTCACAGATCTTTATCCGCTTTGTGGGCCAATCAGGGCACTCTACGCCTGGTGGGCTGGATGATGCAACAGAGTGAAACAAGATGGCGACAGCTCGTTTGAAATGGCTTTTACATCAATTTTGGGCTATTAGAACTTGGGCTTCATTAGAATCAGGAGAAGATAGATGGATTTAAGTGCTTTTTTTTTTTAGAAAAAATTTTGTGTTTTCTCCTTCTTCAACTGCGGACTGCCTCATTTACCGATAGCTGTTGCGGTGAGTATGTCACATTCATTGCCCAGTAGCATGCGGAGATCATTTGAAAGACAACGGTAGAACCCGCCCCACAACCGAGAGCCGTCAATGGAGCGTTGCCAGACTAAATAATACATTTAGTTAGTCTGGCTTGCCAGGCTACTGAGATGTCAGAGCATTTCCATCAACATTATGCAACCTTTTTTCTCTGAGGCCATTTTTCTGTTTGTGTTCTGGTCATGATTTAGGAACCCATGAGGATTTTAGCAAACATTTCTGCTGATGCATGGAAATAAAGTTTTTGCTACTGTTGCAGCACAACAGATTAGTGCTGACTTTAGCATCAAACCTGACGAAGATTGATTTAACAGTCAGATGGTTAATTAAGCCATTTATTGGAATTTTTAAACAAACTGGCATCGGTCATGTCTGAGTATATTAAGCTGATTAGCAGGCACATCTGTGGGCAGCACATAATGTGCCGCTGTACCCTTGTGTCAGTCAAACAGCACTTCCAATAAAAAGGGTGTCTTTCATGGCACAGAACCCGCAGAACCCCATGGAGGTTTTCTGAAATATCTAAAACCGTAAAAAAAATGATCTTTTTTTTACTGAATATTCTGAGTTCCTAAAGTTGGTATCAGCCACAGAAAACCCATATTGACTTCTTACTTGGTGAAGCTGTATTTATGCAAGCTTATTTGTGATATGGAAACGAAATATGTCAGTCAACGTCTTGCTTTACTTACACTGGCCAGCATCTCTCTGTCTTACTGTATTTTCTGGCTTTCTTCAGAAAATGTAGCCCATAAGAATCCAGACCCTTCAAAAATGCATCAACAATTACAAAAGAATAAAATTGAATAAAGAAGTAAACTAATTTTTGATATGGATAGGAAGTCAAGCTTGAATAAATGACTCGAGAAACTATTTAGCAGAAGCTTGAAATTGGCTGACACCGGTGTCACCACAGGTCCCGCAGGCAGGCATGGCATCCTTTTCTTTTGTGTCCTGTAATAACTTTTCTCTTTCAATCAAAAACTAAAATATGTTGTCATACTTGAAGAAAACCAAAGTAAAGAACTAGAAATACACATAAAAGTATTATTGTTGGTCATTCCACCCGCCTTTTTAAATACATGTGTGACAGCTTCTTCTTGTCCGTCCAGGGTTATTGGAGTTGCCTCAAATCACCGCACACATACAATCAGGCCACAGACACAGGACTGTCCTTCAGAGCTTTTTACTGGCAGGATCTGATGTAAAAACAAGCACACAATAATTCATCAGTGTGTGTGCGCTGCAACTGCATACAACGGTCTCCACCAGCTTTCATTACTGCTTTTCTCCATCATGTGATCGTATAGTGACATTTAATAACAACAGCAATATATTAATTTAACAACTTGCATTTCAGAGCAATACATACTTTCTTTTTGATAAAACATATAAAATAGTTAATAGTACCAACAATGACAGCGCAGCCGCCGACAGTTGAAACAGTTAACTGCCATCAGTAGGTATAACAGTCAACTGCCACCGGCAGTTGAAACAATAAAACATTTACAAATCATGTTTTAACCAAACACATCTGAACGTACCTGATGTAAAAACAAGCACACAATAATTCATCAGTGTGTGTGCGCTGCAACTGCATACAACGGTCTGTTCAAGGCAAAAAGAAAAACCCAAACATTACTAAAAGGACTGAAAAGCTAGCTTCCATTAGTGTGAATCTCTGCTATAAAGTTATTAATTTAATGCAAACACAGCTAACCTCTTTCAAAATATGCTCTAACAACACTTAAATATCCGTAACAAGTCCTATTGATATATTAATTAAAGGTTAAAATCACTTTAAGTGCAGAGCGGCTTCACAGTACACCTACCTCCACCAGCTTTCATTACTGCTTTGGTGGGAGGGGCCGTGAATGCGCCTGAAGGACCCGTTGCATGCAGTTGCGCCTAACCACCAGTAGGCGGCTCCAAAACACAAACAATCACTGCACATCACTTTTGGTGAAATTCACATTTTCATCTCTGTTACACCCACCCCTGCTGAATTTCAGCCAAAATTATTAAAGTGCAAATACCATCACCATGACACAAAACCTCACATTACTCAACGTGGGTGTACACAGTCCAACTGAAACAGTATCCTCTATAAAGGATGAAGTGGCAAGAAAATGGCGCCCTATTCCCTACCAGCTCCTGGAAGCAGGATGCAGCCTACATCCTACATAACCCACATGTAAAACAAAAAGAAGCCCCTAAACCAGGACTAGTACTAAGTTATGGTGATATATCTATTATAAAATACAAAACACAGAACAAAGAACAAGATACAACTTGTTTAGAAAATGGCATATTATTATACATGCCTCTACTGAAACATTTGAAAAACTGAATTAGAAACTGTCCTTAAGCTGACTAGCATCGTCACTAATAGCCATATTGGTCATCACCTGAATCAGCCTATTGACAGGCTTGACTGTCCTACCAACACGGGTTCTGACTGTGTGGACTGAGTCAGTGCCAATAGCAGACTGAGCAACCAGTGAAGTGTGTGAGAGAACACTCTGTCTATCAGCAGAGGGAACTAGCAAGGGATAAGGGTCATAGCCCGTCACACTAGGGGACAACAGAAGCCCCTCGTCTCCCTCCACTGCAGAGACCATCTCGCTGACGGAGTCGTTCATGTGAGCAGCATTACGGGATGCATCAGGTAAGGAGCTGACCCACTCTTGGGTTCTGATTCTTGAATCATTCTTTTCAACAACCGGTTCCGGTGTATCTGATGCAGTAGTAACATCAGATCCTGCAGGTAAAAGGGCAGAAGAGTCGACAGACTGACTGGCTGTATCAAAGGGCAAGAAATTCACAAGCATCAAGAGGTTACGATGCACAACTCTGACCTGACCAGTGTTGGGATGCTGTATCTGATATGTGTGGGTTGTAGGATTCATGCCCACGACAGTAAACACTGTAGACTCCCAGCGGTCAGCAGTTTTACGCTTCCCTCTCTCCCGTTTGTTCGAGACTAGGACACGGTCTCTGACACCAATAGGTTTTCCTTTTGTGCGGCGGTTGTAGAGGCAGGCCTGCCGTTCCTGTTCCCTGTCGGCATGACTTAGAGCTATGGCCATGGCGTCCTGGAGATCTTTTGTCAGGGATAGCACATACTTGTCATAGCCACACAGTTCAGGATCTCTAAGAATGTTCTTAAAAAGCACATCAACTGGGAGGCGTGGCACTCTTCCATACATCAAATAAAAAGGGGCATAGCCTGTAGTCTCGTTGACTGTGCAATTGTACATGAAGGTTAATGTCTGAAGGTGTTTTGGCCAGTTCTGTTTTGCATCAGGTGGGAGAGCTCTTATCATGTTTCCCAGTGTTCTGTTGAAGCGTTCTGCGCTACCATTGCCCATCGGGTGGTAAGGGGTTGTATGGGATTTCCTCACACCCGCAACTTCCAACAGTTCCCTTATGAGCTGACTCTCAAAGGAGGGACCCTGGTCCGAATGTATACTTTCAGGAAACCCGTATATACAGAAAAATTTGTCCCAAAGCTGCCTCGCCACCTGCTTTGCAGATTGGTCACGACAAGGAAAGGCCTGTGCAAGTCGTGTGAAATGGTCGGTCACAACTAACACGTCAACAGACTTGTTATTGGAGTCCTCTGCAGTCCAAAAATCAATGCACACGACCTCCAATGGTGAAGATGTTTTGATACTTTCAAGAGGTGCTCGACCTTCTGGATCAGGGGATTTGCCAATAACACACCGGGGACACTGGCGAACATAGTCTTTAACATCACGGTCAATGTGGGGCCAGAAGAACCTCTGACGAGCAATAGCCAAGCTCCTAAACTGCCCTTGATGACCAGCACTGTCATGAATCCCCTTGAGAACCTCAGCCTTTAGAGAATCAGGAACTACAAATTGGTGACGCCTCTTGTTGGTTACTGGGTTTTTAGAAAGTCTGTACAGGATTCCATTGGACATTGTAAACTTTTCCCAGTGTTTGAGGTACCTGGTGACCATGGCTTGCTCTTTGGGTTTCTCTCTTCTGGGTGGGCGACGGCCACGGGCAACATAGTACAACACCCTTGATAGGACAGGGTCATTTTGTTGTTTCTCACGCAACTCTGTTTCTGAAAAGACAGGTAGGTCATCCTGAACTGGAAGGATTAGCTGAGGTAGGTGTTCGAGGGTGTTAACAGCTCGTAGCCTAGCAGCAGATTCCCATGCACTTTGTGTTTCAAGAATAGCATGGACATCATCTTTTGTGAAGGACTGAAACTTTGTGCTGTTAGGGAGTTGCGACATGCTGGAGTGCTGGTCCTTGGCGTTCGACTGCCTAAAAGCCTCTTGGACTGAGCCAACTGAGACAGGGAGGGCCTCATTAAGGAGCTGGCTGTACGGTATTTGCAACAGCCTCCTTACTACAGTCGACTTAACAAATGGTTCGCGACTTAAGGCATCCGCCACCAAATTCTTTGAGCCAGGGATATATTTAATGTCAAAGGCGTAAGAGGCCAGCTTTGCCACCCATCGCTGTTCACAGGCATCCAAATGTGGCTTGGTGAGGATGTGCGTGAGTGGGTTGTTATCCGTCCACACTGTGAACATATGTCCTTTCAGCCAATGGCTGAATTTGTCACACACCGACCATTTGAGTGCCAAAAACTCAAGGCGATGGGCTGGATACTTTCTTTGAGCACGTGTGAGAGACTTGCTTGCAAATGCCACTGGCCGGGCCACACTCTCACCTTCCTGAACCTGTGATAGGACTGCACCCAAACCATCCAATGAGGCATCTGTAAACAGAACAAATGGGCGAGTGAAGTCTGGGTGGGCCAGAATTACTGAGTTGACCAACGCTGCTTTAAGCTCCATGAATGCAGAATGGTGTTCATCTGTCCAGTCAGCTTTAGTCAATTTGCGAAGCACAAGCTTACGCTTGGTGGGTATCTTCAACTTGCGTTTCTGTTTTGCACCAGCAAGCAGATTAAAGAGTGGCCTGGCTACAGAGGAATAGTTGGGGATGAAATGCTGGTAGTAGTTAATCATGCCTAGAAACGAGCGAACACGAGATGGGGAAGGGGTGACGCCATCTGGTTCCATGAGATCTGCAGTTGACATGTTACTGATGGACTCAACTTTAGCGGGATCTGTGGATACACCAGACTCATTGATTATGTGTCCAAGAAACTTCACAGATCTTCTCATTAGCCAACATTTCTTTGGAGCAAGCTTCAGGTTGTGGAACCGCAGGCGGCCGAACACCATCTCCAACCTCTTGAAAGTCACCTCTTCAGAGGGGCCAAACACCAGCAAATCATCAAGGTAGCACAATAGACTGAGAAAGTTCTGGTCACCAAATATGGACATCATCATCCTCATGAAACTAGCTGGGCTGTTGCACAGTCCCTGGGGGAGCCTGTTGTATTCGTACAATCCCATGGGTGTTGTAAAGGCAGAGTATTTTCGGTCATCTTTGTGTAGTGGCATGTTGTAAAAACCAGATGTGAGGTCCATTGAGCAGAAGAATGTGTTCCCTCCCAAAGCAGCTAAGCAGTCTGCTTGATGTGGTAAGGGATGGGCATCCTTCAGTGTTCGCCTGTTGAGCCATCTGAAATCTGTGCAGATCCGCAAGTCACCATTCTTCTTCCAAACTAGAACGAGGGGTGAGGCAAACTCACTGGTGGATTTGCAGATTATTTCCTTCTCCTCCATTTCATTTAGGACTTGACGAAGCTTCTGGTATTCAGCAGGCGGCACACGGCGATAGGGCAACCGAAAGGGTCTCTCATCAGTGAGTCGAATCCTGTGCACAAACCCTTTTGCCTCTCCGCAGTCTAAGTGGTGGCGGGAGAACACGTCCTCATAGCTGATCACAAGGTCAGCCAGCTTTCTCCGCCAACCATCTGACACGTCACAAGACTGCAGGTCCAGATCACCCAGACCAACAATTTTCAGTCTCTCCTGCAGACAGTCATTGTTTTCCGCTGTAGAATCAACAGTGCTTTTTACAGTGGTAGCTTGATATGAGCATGTTACATCTTGCATAACCAAGTCCTCCATAGCAAGACAGGTGTAGACATCAGCCAGTTTAGCATTTCTACGAATGGTTACAGGTAGGGTTGTCACGGTGTGAAAATTTAACCTCACGGTTATTGTGACCTAAATTACCACGGTTTTCGGTATTATCGCGGTATTTTTTTTAAACGTGCTACATTTTCACACAATTAAATAAACCCTGTATGTAAGGAAATATTGTCCTCAGTTTGTGTCTAAATTTAGCCTAAAATGTGTTATTTTGTAATTATGTTGTTTATTTGATTATATTTTTTCCCTTTAGTCTTTAAAATACCAATATTTGCCCATAACTTCTTATTTTTTGTCTGTTTGATGTAGGGATGCAAGCAATTAATCGATTATCAATTAATTGTCGATAAGAAATTACTCGATTAAAATAAATTAATTGCAATTAATTGCGTTTTAAACATGTAACTCCCCGCCAGTCCGCATGGGGGCGCGCTTGACACCAGACGTACTTGACGCACATGCGTGATAACGAGAGAGGAAGGCTCCGACGACGACAACAACAGAGGAGAAAGAGTACGCAGAGGATGAGGAGGACAAAACGGAGTGCAGTATGGAGCCACTTCACGCTGGTCAATGACAACGATGCCAAATGCACAATATGTGGAAGTATTCTGAAGTACAACAAATCTACAACTTCGTTGAACTACCACCTAAGTACGTCACATTCAGCCGTGCTACAAACTGCGAGTGGCACTCAGCCTACAATCGCCATGGCATTGGGAAGAAGGGTATGTGACTCCACAAAAGCAGAGGGCATTACCCAGCGAATATGTAACATGGTTACTACAGACATGCTGCCGATAAATGTCGTTGAAGGACAGGGATTTCAAGAACTGATAAAATACGTTGAGCCAGGGTACAATATCCCTTCTAGAACAACTATAACCACTCGCTTGGAAGCAAGTTACGCGAAGAAGAAGACCGAATTGAGAACGCAACTTGCAACTGCGAATGTGGCCCTCACGACAGACTGTTGGACTTCCTTGACTACGGAAAGCTACATCACAGTGACATGCCACTACATTGAACCGGACTGGCGGGTAAAGTCAGCAGTCCTACTCACAGAGAGTATAACAGTGAGGCATACGGCAGACAATTTAGCCGACAAGCTAAACCAGGCTGTGGAAACATGGGGACTCACGGGGCGTGTAGTTGCATGTGTGCACGACAATGCATGGAATATCGTCTCAGCAAACAGTCCCACACGAGTCAACTGGCACTCAGTTCCATGTTTCGCCCACACTCTGCAGCTGGCCATTAACGACGGATTCGCCACCTACATTAACCGAGTCATTATAGCTGCTAGCAGACTCGTGCAACACTTCAATCATAGTAGCCTAGCAAACATAGCGCTCAAAGCTAAACAACAACAAATGCAGCTGCCGTCTCATAAACTCATCCAATCCTGCAAAACCAGGTGGAATTCAGTCAGTGAAATGTTTAACAGACTAACGGAGCAGAGGTGGGCCGTGTCTGCTGTACTGTCTGACCGCACAGTAACCAAACTCTCAGATGCGAGGACGCTGGAATTGAGAGATGAATACTGGCAGTTGATGGAGGATGTGGCTCCAGTGCTGGAAACGCTCAAGTGTGCAACGACCGTCATGTCTGGTGAGACTGAGGTGTCCGTATCAGACACGTATCCCATCACCTTCAGCCTGATCAACGTGCATCTCAAGACAGACGAGGAAGACACCAGCAAAGTGGGGGAATTCAAATCCAGAGTGTGCACTTCACTGAGTGAAAGGATGAAGGTAAGTTAAAAGTTAAATTTAATGATTGCAGATATTTTTTAACTGTATGCATTGCATACAAAGCACATTGTTTGACAATGGTAGTTTTTAACTCCAATCTGATCTAATAATTAAGATCAGGCAATAAATAAACACCTAATCAATTTAAAAAAATTAAAAACAAACATTTAGGCAAGGCATATAGCACACTTACAGCACAATAACAGCAGTTATTCAAGGTGCTTTAAATTATTAAATTTGCAAAAAAAAAAAAATTTGACAGCAATATAAAAACGGCAGACAAGGCAAAGAAAAAAGTACGATATTAGCTTGTTGCAGCAAGTTGAAAAGAAACTAAATGATGAATGATGTGCTATGACATAATTCAAAAGCAATTCTAAAAAGTTGAGTTTTGATTTAAGGCAGCTCAGTATTTCAGCAGCTTTACAATATTCAGGGAGTGAAGAGGCACTTTAGATATAATTATTTGTTTTCTTCACAGATTGCTTCTGATGACCTGATGTCAACACCACCAATGATAGCAACCATGCTGGATCCTAAGCACAAGCACCTGGGATTTCTGACCCCACCAAGGATGGTTACAGCTCATGCCAAACTGCTTGAAGTTCTGGCTGAGACTGAAGCAGAAGCCGAATGCAAGAGCGCCACGTCAGCAGATGCGATTGGAGGCCAGCAGGAGTTGGTTGGGGGCCGGGCGGTGCCAGTCCAGGCAGCTGGACTTCAGAGACGCAGTGCGTATGCTTTGCTCATGGGTGAAAACTATACCACCAGGAGCACCAATGATGTAGAAAAAGAGGTGGACAGCTTTCTGAAGGATCCGCCACCACTCCTTGATTCCAGTCCCACAACATGGTGGAAAGTCAATGAAGGAAGGTTTCCAAGGCTGGCAAACCTGGCACGAAAGTACTTGGCCATACCAGGCACATCAGTCCCTTCTGAGCGAGTATTCTCAGCAGCTGGCCTAACTGTTAACAGGCTGCGCACCCGACTTACTCCTGACCATGTGGATTTGCTGATATTCTTGAACAAAAATAGATAAGTCTGTCTATGCTATGAGAAGCACTAGGGATGTTTTGGTTGTTTGTTTTATGAAGACTGTCATCAGGGAGCCTATATTAAGTTAACTAGAGCTACAGTTTTGGTTTACCAATGTAATTGTGATATTGTCACATTTCCCAGTTAAAAAGGGATTATAAATACTGCTGATGGTCCACATCCGACACCTTATTTGCTTAACAGAATTTATTTTATTATTCTTCATAGAGACAGTGCACTATGTTAAAGTAGCCTATATTCTATTTTTCTTTTCAGGAATGCTGCTGCTATTTATGTTCCAATGTCGCAGTCGCAGATGAGAAGCACAAATGTATTTTCATTTCAAGTAGCTGCTACCAAAAGTTATTCCCTGCCGTCAACCTGATCCCAGAATAAATCTTTGATTAAGGAATATTATTTGCATTTTTTCTTTATATCATATAGAAGATGGCATTTTATGTTGCATATATAGTAGATGGAACCTATTCAGAGGTTAATTCAATTTTTCAGAAAAATCGCTGCTTATCAATTAATCGATCATCGATCGATAAGATGAAACAACTATCGATTAATGAATTACTCGATAATTTGCATCCCTAGTTTGATGTCATCATTTAAAAACTATTAGATCAGATGATACTCAGTACTCAAGTAGCCTTCTAATCAGATACTTTTTTACCCTTACTTGAGTAATAAACTCTATATAAGGAAAATATTGTCCTCGGTTTGTTTCCTTCCAGTGAGCTTTGCAGATTTGGGAAAATGTCATCAGGCAGTAATCATTGTTAAATTCATAATTATTCTCGGAGAGAGACCAACTCTTATCTGCCCCTGGGAGCCCCGTAATGCATAGCGTCATTTCAACATGGCGGTGTCCGCGACACGGTTTATATGCAGGTAGCGGCGCTGCGGCTGCTTTATATAGCGACATGTTGCATTCTCCCTCAACCCAAATCCTCGGATCACGCATTTTAGCTAAAACGCTAACGTTAGCTTGCCTTACGTTGACTGTAGAGTTTTGGGTGATGGTCACGCAGATGTGTCATGAGATTTGAAGCGTTGCTGCCTTTCACAGACACTTTTTCTGCACGTGCTGCAAACAGGATAGCCGTCTTCTATCAACTGTCCCTCGGCATTCTTCAAATATCCAAAAGATGCCCGTACTTCCAACTTTGTCTTCTTTGAGGGATAATACATGTCCTCCTGAGCGCTGCCGTCTCCTCCTTTGGCCATTATTTCAGCTTTAGCTTCAAGAAAGTTTTGGTGGTAAACAAAAAAGCGCGCATGTGCTTACGGCAACTTCAGCAGATGATACGGTGGCTGGTAAGGGTCACCATGTCTACACCGCAGCCACGGTAAACCCACCGAGATCATATAGTTTTTAAAAAACAAGACGGTAATTATTATTGTCAACTTTTTTACCGGAGTTTGCCGCTACACCGGTTACCGTGACAACCCTAAAAGGTATCAATCTTTTTATTTGTTCTGTCTCTTTACTGTTTATGACTTCAAGTGTGGAATACAAGAACAAAGACAACATAGTCTTGCATCAAAGAATTAAAGACTAAAACTGTCTGAAACTCCAAAAAATGCACTAAAATTAAATGCAGCAATGAGAAAACACAAGAAGAATGTAGATACAATATACAAAGTAACAACAAAAAGAAAGTATCAAAACTGTATACCACCCAAACTTATTTGGTTTTGAGAAAGCAGCAGTGAGCAAATTCAAATAACTGAAACTTACGTCTTTGAGGGAATCTGAGCAGCTCCTTTTGGCAACTGGTTCACATAAAGGTGAAGAGCAACCCCACTTTTCAGACTGAGGAGGTTACTGCTGCTGCTGCTATGCTGAAATACAGACTTCTCTTTCAGGCTGGCATTTTTGCTGTAAAACAGCAGCAGGTGTCGGTACAGATACCTGGAAGCACAGTACAAGAAGGGAATATACATTAGAGATCAAAGGTGTAGTGATGTTTAAAGTTTAGCAGTGAAAAAGGTCTTTGTGCATAAATAATCAAGTATGGTGCAAAGTATTGATATTTATTGGGATTGTTTCCACTTATTTTGTTCCACACTATAATAATAATAATTTATCACTTTACTGCCTCTCATTGGGGAAATTCTGGTGCACCAGCAGCAAAGTTACAGGTAAGTTAAGAAAAAAACAGATTCACACAAATATATATCTATTTATATGTATATTAATGGAAAGAAAAATATAGAGAATGCAACATTAAGGAACTGCACTAAATAACCAGTAAAATAAATAAAGTCATCATGCGAGATCCGCCTTTCTCTGTGGTGGACCACGACGGGTTCTGCCCAATAGGAGCCAATTCGTATAATAAATAAATACATATAATAAAAAATCTCACAACATGAAAAGTTGCGAGACTTTATTATTTTTTTTAACTATTTGCGAGACTCGTCCTCTGTTTAATACTGCACAGAGAAAGAGTCTGGTAACCAACAGGTAGAGAGGAACTTGAGGGGCGGGACTAGGCAGCTCAAAAATAACCAATCAGAAAAAAGACAGAATTGTCGACTGTACTGCGCGAAGCTGTAGTTTTTTGGCTGTACTCAAAAAAGGCGTCTGGCAACGGCAAAAACATTTAATTTTTTTTAAGAAGAAATGCTTTTAGCGCTTCTACTTGTGGTTTTCAAGACATTTGAGTCATTTAGAACAGAGGAAAGAACTCCGCCGCCGTCTTCGTTGTTTATGAGAAACTGAGTGTCGTGTGTGACGTCCGCGACACTGTAGTTTTTTTAGCTGTAGTAAAAAAATGGCATCTGGCGACAGCACAAACATCTTTCTTTAGAAGAAAAGCTTTTAGCGCTTCTACTTGTTGTGGTTTTAAAGACGTGGCCAGGTCAATTAGAACAGAGAAAAGAGCCGCAGTGAACTCCGCTTCAGTCGCCATGTTTATGACAAACTCTGCGTTATGGTGTGTGACCAGGGGTGGACTGACTCTCTGGAGCACCAGGAGCCGTTCCGGTGGGCCGACAATGTGGGCGGGGCCGCCGGGCCGGTCTGACATTTATTAATTATTTCATTCATTCATCCACTCGTTTCGTTCGTCTTTCTCTCTCGCCCTCAGATTTCTTACAAATTGGGCCGGCCAATAGGTTACTGAGGCTAGCAGTGTGTTGCCCACATCAAGATGTATTATTGGTCTGTTTCTCATTGTCATGGGCTGACTGGTTCAGGGCGCTGCGACAGGGCTGTCAATCACAGGCAGCACAAACCAGGATGGGCGGGGCCTCATCGCTGGTCGGCGGGAGTGGTTGGACAGTGCCGTGCCTCGGACTGTTGATGTAAAAATGGAGAAGCCGAAGAAACGTTTGAGTGGCGCAGAAAAGTTGAAAAAAGTTTGAAGTCTCTAGAGGTGGGAGCTGCTAAGTGTTCACAGTTGGCAGACCTATTTGGTACTGGGCCGGCCTTAGTCACCACCCCAGCAGGTGCTGCTGTTGCGCCAGGAGAAGGGGCGACACTACAGTAAGTAGCATTAGCACGGGGCTGGCTAGGTTACATTTTAAAACATATGTGTTCAATAAGAAGTAGAACACGTTTCATATTTATAGCTGTCATCATGTAGTATGAGCTAAAAAGGCCGTGAGTGTTGGTATTTGGGTTAATTAAGTTTAATTATATATGCTGAAGGTTGGTTTCACGTGACATCACAACTAGGGTTGTCACGGTATGAAAATTTAACCTCACGGTTATTGTGACCAAAATTATCATGGTTTTCGGTATTATCGCGGTATTTTTTAAACGGTGTTGCATATGTTCAGAAAGCATTGATAGTCCTGTTCTACACAAACTGAAATAGTTCTGAAAAGGTTTAACAGTGTTTATTAAACCTAAAATAACACAAAGCCTTAGCAAAAGTGCAACTTTTCACAAGTAAAGGAACAAACAGCTTATTTTTCTGGAACTTGTTACAGTAGTCAGTGCAGGTTTAAATTATACAAATCCAAACATTCAAAACATAAACAATATGTAAACAAATCAAAGAAACACCACTTGTTTTCTCATATACTTGTTTTCTTCATTATCAAAATGAAAATCTAAAACTCCAGTCCACACTTGACTTGAGCACTGTACAAGTCAACCTTAAAAAATATGTATTTAAAATAAATATCCACTTTAAACAAATTACTAAAATAACTACTACACTATGTAATCAAATCCAAATGTTCAAGTATAAATGGCATTGAATAAGTAAACAAATCCATGACAAGGAACTAATTGTATATTTCTCTTCATCATCAACAAATAAGATGCTTCATCCAGCAACAGGGTGTCCGTGACACGGTTTAAATGCTGCCAGAGGACGCTGCGGCTGCAGTATATAGTGACTCGTTGCATTCTCCCTCAACCAAAAGTCCTCGCGTCATGCATTTAAGCTAAAATGCTAATGTTAACTTACCTTGCACCGGCTGTGGAGACGTGGGTGATCGTCACGCAGATGTGCCATGAGATTTGAAGTGTTGCTGCCTTCTGCAGACACTTGTTTCCTGCACGTTCTGCAAACGGGATAGCCGTCTTCTATTAACTGTCCCTCAGCATTTTTCAGAAATCCCAAATATGCCCATACTTCCGATTTAGTCTTCTTTGAGGGCTGATGGATGTCCTGGGCGCTGTCGTCGCCTCCTTCGGCCATTATTTCAGCTTCAAAGTTTTGGTGCCGTTGCAAATTAAAAAGTGCGTGTGCGCGCAGCGGGAACTTCAGCTGAAGCGACGGTGGCTGGTAAGGGTCATCGCGCCGAAACCGCGGCCACGGTAAACCCACCGAGATAATATAGTTTTTTAAAAACTGGACGGTTATTTTTATTGTCAACTTTTTTACCGGGGTTTACCGCTATACCGGTTACCGTGACAACCCTAGTTACAGGACAACTGGAAGCATTTAGGATCTTGAGAGGGACAAACCTGTCTCCCCAGAGTTGTGTCAACGCTCTTGCCACCAATATGCCTCTGGGAGCAGAGTGGGAAGTTGTGGGTTCAGACATCACAGTCAAGCCAGGTGATAACTTTGTATCCTTGGGAAGTTTGCCCCATAAAAGATATTCAGTTCCAGCCTCCAAAGTGACAGCTGTGTTACATCTCACAGTTCCGATTTTGTCTGGGACATCCTCACCAGAACGACGATCCAGGCCAGCAAGCAGAGAGAGGAACTCCTCAAGCTCAGGGTGATCTAGGTTTGGTGTGGAAATAGCTTCCCAATAGGAGGAGTCATTCTTTAGCTGGTGTAACAGATGCCTGATGACATTGGAGCCCACGAGCAGATCAGCCTGTTGGTTATTTACAACAAAGGCGGGGACCAATAGCTTGCATCCATAGATCTCCATCTCCAGATCTATTATTGAAGTTGGTTTCACTCTGGCACCACCACATCCCACAAACACAACATCAGTACCCTCCTGATGAGAGATAACAACACCCGCATTAATTAGCGACTGCAGGGCTACTTCACTCAGTGAGCATGCCATCGAACCACTGTCCAGCATGGCATCAAGAGTCACTTTGCCATCGACTTTAACATGCATATAAAACAAGCTGTCACTCTTTTTGACCCTTTGTGTGTCCTGAACAATAACATTTTCTGATTCATTCAGTTTCTGTATATTTTGGTACAATTCAGCAGCATCAAATGTGTGGGAGATTTTACCTTGACCCATGTGACCTCCCTCCAGACATAGGTCACCTAGTTTCCCTGCATATTTTCTGTAGGGGAAGTATTGGTTGGGCAGGACCATCTCGTGTGGTCTGGGCTGAAACATGTGAAACAGAGTCGGTCTGAACGGCAGTGGGTTTCTGTTGTATGATTGTCATCATTGCACACCCGACAGTTCATAACAGATCTGGCCCGGCCCTTTGTGCGCCCACGACGAGCATATGAGGGCTGACCACTAGGCTGAACTTTGGTGAGAAGCTCCCTGAGCATCGACACTATGTCACCAAGCATGGCACCCTCTTGTGGCTGACTGAGTGGGGCAGAAGCTGGAGACTGGAACTGGCATTGCACTTCTGTGCATTTACTCTGCTGCTTCATAGGCTGTAGGGAAGGAATACATGTCTGTGCAGCTGGAGTAACTGAATCACCTTGGAACTGCTGGTTCTGCACCATCGCAGGTGCATAGGATAAAGGAGCTTCAGTGGTTGGCTGCACAACATGATGGAGCAGAACACCATCAGGCATATGTACATTACTGGAGACTCTGGGCTCAACGTGTGTCTCAAAACATAGTAATTGGGCTGCAGATGGTTTGTGCATTGGTGTTTTAATACTGGACAATCGTTCTCTTTGGTGTTCATCTAGCCTCTCCTGAATGTCTTTGGGGGTCCACTCATGAATCTGTTTGTACTTAAACACTGAAGCTAGTTCTGTATCAGGGCAGTGCTTTACAAACATTTTAGCAATTTCACTACCAATATCCTCAATGCGCTTCCCTTGACGCTTCAGACCTTCCTCAGCCATGTCTGCAGCCTTATTAAGGCGAATCCAGTAATCAACAGCATCCTCTTTCTGGAGTGGCAGTGTGGAGTAGAAATCTTGTAGAGGCAGACAGGAGGATGTGTTACTGAAGTACTGTATCAGCATGTTATAAATTACATCTGGGGAGGATGTAGCATTTAAGGCAGGATTACTTCTAAGGCCAATCTTAACTACATCTCTGGCTCTACCCATCAACTTCCCCATAATTTCCTCTTTTTGCATAGAAACATCATAGTTCTGCCGTCTAAGGTAACCTCTCATCATTTCAACCCACTCAGTAACAGTGTACTTGTCAGAATTGTCACCTTTGAAAACTGCAGGTGAGGTTTCTGATTTTACAATGACATTAAACCTTTGACCATCTGAGACAGAAGCGTCCTCAACATTGGCACTGTCCTGTTTCTGACAGGTACCACAGGCTTCTTTTCCCCCAGCAACACCAGAAGATAACAGTTTATTTGCAATTGATTCCCCAATCTGTGAACCTAACTGATAAATCATGTCACTTATTTGGTGTAAGTCATTACCAACAACAGGTGTTGAGTGACTCTGGCCTCCAAATAACATCTGACCAGTAGGTGTCTCATCTGGATCCCGGGCTAATCCCTGGGGTTTACTACTACTCGCAGGTAGTATAGGTGATGCACCCAAATCAAACCCAACAGCACAACCGGGCTGAAAAGTAAGTCCCATTACACCTCTACCTCTCCCAAAAGAGGGGTGACTGTTCACAGTTTTACCACTTGGTTCAAATCTCTTTGCCATGTTAAGATAAAGCAGAAATAAAACACACTCAATTAAAATCCAGTGGTAATTAGAAATAGAATTACTGTTTCCCTTAGTTCATAAACCTTGTGACCCAATTGTGGAGGTCTTGAAGTGAAGAGGTAACTTGCAGGTAGACGACACAGTAACCTCCGGTGAACCGCATCAAGCTGCTCAGCAATCCGGGAGTCACGGCACCAGTGTGACAGCTTCTTCTTGTCCGTCCAGGGTTATTGGAGTTGCCTCAAATCACCGCACACATACAATCAGGCCACAGACACAGGACTGTCCTTCAGAGCTTTTTACTGGCAGGATCTGATGTAAAAACAAGCACACAATAATTCATCAGTGTGTGTGCGCTGCAACTGCATACAACGGTCTCCACCAGCTTTCATTACTGCTTTTCTCCATCATGTGATCGTATAGTGACATTTAATAACAACAGCAATATATTAATTTAACAACTTGCATTTCAGAGCAATACATACTTTCTTTTTGATAAAACATATAAAATAGTTAATAGTACCAACAATGACAGCGCAGCCGCCGACAGTTGAAACAGTTAACTGCCATCAGTAGGTATAACAGTCAACTGCCACCGGCAGTTGAAACAATAAAACATTTACAAATCATGTTTTAACCAAACACATCTGAACGTACCTGATGTAAAAACAAGCACACAATAATTCATCAGTGTGTGTGCGCTGCAACTGCATACAACGGTCTGTTCAAGGCAAAAAGAAAAACCCAAACATTACTAAAAGGACTGAAAAGCTAGCTTCCATTAGTGTGAATCTCTGCTATAAAGTTATTAATTTAATGCAAACACAGCTAACCTCTTTCAAAATATGCTCTAACTACACTTAAATATCTGTAACAAGTCCTATTGATATATTAATTAAAGGTTAAAATCACTTTAAGTGCAGAGCGGCTTCACAGTACACCTACCTCCACCAGCTTTCATTACTGCTTTGGTGGGAGGGGCCGTGAATGCGCCTGAAGGACCCGTTGCATGCAGTTGCGCCTAACCACCAGTAGGCGGCTCCAAAACACAAACAATCACTGCACATCACTTTTGGTGAAATTCACATTTTCATCTCTGTTACACATGCCAGCATACATGTAGAAAACCAGTCTTTAAATGTCCCAGATTTTACTAATTAAACACGGTTATCCCTGTAACAAATCTCTTATGCTGCCTAAGAATTAGCCTGCATGTTTTCTTCTAGTCCTAAAAATGTAATTGTCCAAAATTTAGAGCTGATTATTTAGACATTTTCAAGAGGACACAGGCCTTGCTCAGCGAGTCAAAGCAAAGGCTTCATAACTGAAGAGGCTGAAAAATGATGACAGAGTAGCAGAACAGAAAAGAAATCAGCAGCAGCATGCTTTGTAGCCCTGACATTTTTCTGAGACTTGAGGGTAATAAATATATTCTTGTCTGTGGTGATATTTTCATTATGTCTTGGTCGTCCTGCCACATTTGTCTCCCTCCCGCTCATCATTACTTAAATGAATCATGATGTGACTCTGGTGGCAGAAAGCTCATTGCTCCCAGGATTACTCAGTCAATTGGTACTTGGTTTTGGAAAATCTGCTGTGTGAAATGTCAGAGATGTGACTCCAGAGATTCAAGGCCTCTTTGTACCTTTTTACTAAAGGCTGCTCTCTGTGTCTTCACCCAGCTTCAGGACGAATTCAAGGTCATTATCTCGTGTGGAGAGTGGGGAAAAATAGAAAGGGGTGGGAGTGGGGGAGTAGAAAAGGGTTTAAAGGGTCAGAGAGATACATTGTTGATAGCGCAGATATAAACAGGAGCAAAAATTGAGTGTGCACGGAAAATGGTGAAGAAAGGGGTCCCTGGAGAAAAAGAAAATTTGAAAATAGCAAAGAATATTGAATGAGAAACAAAGAAATACTCAAGGGAGTAAAAACTCAATATCTCTAACCCCTAAAGGACTGCAGCGCAAATGACTAATCCCCTGGAAAAAAGCTATGCATATCAAAGGACTAAACCCAGAAAGCAACAAAACAACCTTCCTTTGGCACATGAAATAAACCAAGTTATTGCGCAATTCTCTATTAAAGTAGTTTATGTTATCACCTCCCACTGAACACCCAACATCCAATAACTCAACACAGGATTAGAGATTACCAGAGTACATCCAAAACAAATAATACATTTACAACAATAAACCATAGACACACTGGGCTTTGATTAGGACTCTTTTCTGAAGCATTATTAAAAAATGAGCCAACATAAACATTCCAGTTGTGTTCAGATCATTGTGCTAATTAGTAAAAAGTTTCCCATCAACTGAAACAGTTTGGTTTTATAAGATTCTGTGAAATCATTCTCTCTAGTCATTATCGGGGACTCCTCCTACCGCTTAGAGAGCGCGGGGGTATTCCTCCTGTAGCTTTTAGAGTGGGGGTCGTTATAAGGCCTCAGCTTGCCCTAAAGGGGACTAAAACACCTATGATTCATGTGATAGATTTGTTGGACTAGATTAACACAAAAACCATTGATTTCTCTGGTATGATTGAGTTGAGTAGTCAGTGCATCCTGTCTTTAGGTGACGTTAAAAACCTGTATGCTGATGATGATGATGTCTACATTTGTGGTAACTTCACAAAGACCTAACTCTAACCCTTTATAAACAAAGATTTATAGAATGTAGGTTTTGTTTACTTTTAGAAAGCTTTTGTCATAGAAATAATAAAGATGGACGAGATGCACCTGACCTCCGAACATCTCTGGAGTTTAGCCAGGAGCAGGTGGAGCGGCTCGCGGCTGAGAACACGTCTCTGCGGGAATCGGTTTCCTCCTTGACTGTAGGATTAAATCGGATCTCCCAGGACAACAAAGCTCTAAAGGAGACGGTTCTGGATCTCCAATCACGCAGCATGAGAGACAACTTGGTGTTCGCAGGGCTATGGCGTCAGACCCGTGCCACAACCCGTGCACGCGGATTGGGTCCACATTGCACGTGTGAACGGGACTCGCGAGTGAAAATATACATGGCGAGAGGTCATTTGTGCACTGAGAGGGAGCAAACTGTGGCTGTGAGAGCACAAGGATGTGCACGTGCACAAGTGACAAACCTGCGTGCGCGCGTTGCCAACGAGCACACGGCAGAGGAAAACGTGCGCGTGCGGCAGCCTCTCTGCGCGCTCGGCAGCCTCTCTGCGTGCTCGGTTTCTGACTCCGCTCGCTCGGCTGTGAAGGGGTTTTGGCACTCTGGAGGCGTGGCCTGTGGCGGATCTTCTCTGTCCTCTGATTGGTTAGTTTACCCAGCACTTTACCCTCTACCTCATTGGCCCATTGGCTTCCTGTCGGACCAAAATGATGGGCGCTATATCTATATAAAAAATCTGATATTCAGTAGTTGTTGTCATAGCTCAGCTGGGAGAGCGGGTGACTCTCCCCCCGGAGGATCCAGGTTCGAGTCCAGGCAAGGACATTAGAGTAGATGTCATGTTATTTTTTCCTAATTCCTGTGATATTATTTTACAGTTGTGACCGTTCAACTGTCATTAAACGTCCGAATGTTTGCTGGGCAGTGTTTTAAAAAGTGCACATGAGCTAGATGGTTTTAACCATATAAAATTATATTTTTTGTGATACTGGAAAATACATACTGAAATAAAACTACTGATTGAAAACTTTATGACTGTGGTTGTACAATGTATGAGTCACTATTACACTGCAATGGCCCTTAGAGTGGGGCTTCCAGAGAGAGAGAGAGAGAGAGAATTTGTATTCTGTCAAAGTTGTAATATTCCTTCAGCCACTCTTGAGAGGAGACTCCAGGTAAAAATAGACTTGTGGGTGTAGGTATGTTCAAGTTTAAAAAGTTCTTGCCTCATTAATGTATTGTTTATTTTTTTCAGCATTTAATTGACAAATTATCCTTTCAAATAATTAATTGATGAGTTACATAATTGTCCATTTAGAATTGTTGAATGGACTGAGTCAAGTTTGGTGCACTTTATATATTTCAAAACATGTTTTTTTATTTGAATGATGCATATAAATAATTTAAATGTTAATTTAATGAAATATTTCTATTTTTTCATTACCTCACCCTTGTTTTGACAAAAACGGGACCTTGCTGGATAATATCATGGAGAAACTATTTGTTCACAGTACTTGGCTCAGTGAGGATCTGTATACCAAAGGAGGAGATACTCAGAAATCTGTCTGCAGATTGTTACCACTCAGACTGGAATATATTTAGATTTGTTATTTTGACAAGGATGAGTGATATTAGTACAGAACAAAAATGTTAAAGAAATCTAGATCAAAATCTTCCATGAAATATTTATTACCAGATGGAAAAGAGGGAATTAGACAACACCAATTTAATACATATTATTTAGCCTTTTATAATGTAGTTTTATTTTCATATTTTTAGCAGCAGGCGACAGTCTTGTTTTTTTCTCTTGAAATGTCATCAAATAGAGAATTTCATTAATGAACAGAGGAGGAATATAGCTGCAGCCCTACTTTTGTCACTTTTCATCCACCCCTGTGGAACACAAAATCTCCTCAGTATACAGTCTACTGTTGTTTCTTTGCTTGTCCTTCTTCTCCACCACAACAGTAACAAACTGCCCAACTTTTATTTGGGATCCAACTTGTTTGTTTTCCTCGTCGTCTGTTGAACTCTGAACTGTCGGTTAGAGTGACAACAGCAAAGAAACAAGTCACTATCTCCAACAGAGGAGTCTTCCTTTGAACTGCAGCTGATTAAAGTCGGGCGTAAGAACCCGTTCTACTGTGCTGTGGTTTATCGTCCACCTGGTCCAAACAATTCTTTCCTTCAGGAGTTTAGTGACTTTCTATCCTCCACTGTGAAGCTGTCCAGACTAGTGATTGTTGGTGACTTTAACATCCACGTTGATGATCCCTCTGATCTCTTTGCCATGAATTTCTCCAGCCTCATGGACACCTTTGGCTTTACCCAGCATGTTTCTGGCCCCACACACACCAGGGGGCACACTCTAGACCTTGTTTTAACCTGGGTCTAAATGCTGATAGTGTTTGTCCTGAGGACATTCATATTTCAGATCACCATTGCATTTTC